AGATAAATCTACAGCACGTGTGAATATAGTGAGGCAGTCGGGCGTGAGTGTTTTATAGTCGCAATCACATTCGCGGCATTACTCAGGTCTTTGCGCAGACGCGCATGTTTACTTCCGTGTTGTTTACTCCTATTTCGTGATGCATAAATCAATTTCTTTTATGGAGCACAGTTTAATCAATTACTTGGTAATTTGTTGGTTTAACTAATGGAGCAAAGGATGGTATATTAGTTCACTATCCAGGTAGGAACCTATTTGTTACATGATTGGAGTAAAAGGTCATTAAACATTGTAGGACACGCTACATTAAATATTTAGCAAAATAAGGATAACACAAGCAAATTAGTAAGTTAAAGTGGAAACGGGCAGTGCCAAAAACTGAATTTTGCTGAAGAAAAAAGTCTTAAGTTTACGTACTATTACTACCTGTCTATTGGATTAACAATCTAATGAGTGAATGGGAGTTCACCTTTCCACTGCAAAACAAACTAATCGTCAACGCATGATTGAAGTCACTACTACACAGCTGCCAATGCAAGACGTATTAAAGTAAACAGAAGTAGTAATTGTACTTCTATAAGTAAAACAAAGGTTTTATAGCCATGTGACTTTGTAAAAAGGACGTTTTATGAGAAACGAAAAGCGTTATTGGATAAAAAGAACGCGTGCAGACGGCAAGTGTCTAATTCATGATTCGGACCGTAGTTTATTCAATTAGGATGTGTTCGAAATTTGGGACTTCCTCTTTGGACAATGGCCATTGAGACGCTGGTTAAGGACGTAGCACACTTATCAACTGGTGGTCGCTTACTATGGAAGTACTTACTTACTCATAAGAAGGTTCAAGGTCACCCAAAGAGCGATGGAGCGTGCTATGCTCGGAGTTTCCCTGCGTGATCGAATCAGAAATGAGGAGATCCGTAGGAGAACCAGAGTGACATAGCCCGCAGAATCGCTAAAATCAAGTGCCAGTGGGCGGGGCACATAGCTCAAAGAGCTGATGGCCGCTGGGGCAGGAAAGTTCTTGAGTAGCGACCACGAGCCGGAAGACGTAGCGTGGGCAGGCCTCCCACTAGGTGGACCGACGATCTGGTGAAGGTAGCGGGAGGTGCCTGGATGCGAGCGGCGCAGGACCGGTCTTTGTGGAAATCCTTGGGGGAGGCCTTTGTCCAGCAGTGGACGTCTTTCGGCTGAAATGAACGAACGAACACTTATCAACCCGGAAAGGGATTGTAAACATATCTACTCGAAGCGGTCAGTATTCTTTTATGGAACTCCATACTGCCACCTACACTTATCCACACCGTAAAGTAAACGCCTCGCCTCGCGGTTGACTGCGCGCGATAGGCAATGACAGCTCGCGAAAGGCGATACGGTGTTGATCCGTTTCCAAGTTGATAAGTCTGCTATGACCTTAGGCTGCACTCACTTTAGATAACGAATTCGTACATTGCCTTAATGTACAGTCGACAGCAAATAAAAGTTCTAAATGTTCATTTCTATTGCAAAATAGTACTCTATTACAATTACATCAGATGTCACAGTGTCGTGATAGCAAATAATAATTTCCATTTTCCTTTTGTTAATGCATTTTTAATTGCGTTGTTCAAAAAGTGTGCTAAACATGTGAGCCTTAAATTAGTCTCCTCTACTAAATAAATGCAAGTCCGTACATTAATCAGAAAGCGGTGTTAAATGCCAGTACTTACTAAAGAAACTCGCCGAAGCGGAACCCCATTGTGCTAACTCCTAAGCAGGTACTTATAGGGTCTTTCATACATTATCGCATGACCGAAATTTGTGCGAAAACTCATACCAAGTGAGCTCGACTTTACCTGTAGAAGCAGAACTTTCCATAGCAAAATAAAGTGGTTGATGTATGAGTATGATCCAATTTATTCATACACAATTGAAATAGTTTATCCGAATATGCCTTTATATTGTGTTTGCCGGGTTTCTTTGAATTGCTTATTTCATAGAGAACCTAAGGTAACTAAGGATTTATCAAAAAGGCTACCTAATGAAATATTATAACACATAGAAGTAAGGTCACGATGAAACACCGTTTTCAGGCAGCTTCAACAATGATTTTTCAATTTAATTTAAAAAGTGTTAGAAACATATACTTGACTCCTCAATTTATTTACAAGATGGGTCCAAGTAAATAACTAAGTAGGTACTCTGTAATACTCATATTAAAATACTTTCAACGTTCGAAAAGTTTCATTACAAAATAACAACCAATACTAAAACCAAAACAATTTGTTGCACATTTTCTGCAAAGAGAAAAACTTTACACAGTTATGAAACTTTAAACGAGATTTCAAGATTTAAATTTAATGAAGCCGTATGAAACAGCTAAGTAACTTAATACTTAGATGAGTATACCATTACAACCTTTTGTCTTGGGTTCAAAATAAAATATCTTTCATCTGAAAAAGAAAACAACAAGAAGGCAACAGTCTTTTCATCTTCCTTTAATAAATGTAAATTGAGACGTAGATCAGTGAAGGCCTTTCGATTGATCCTAGATAAGCAATCATTCTTAGAAGAAAGTTTAATAATGCTGTAACGTTGGAGAAAGTCGTTGGCAATGCAAATTCGTGATGTAGGTTTAAGATTAATAAACGTTGCTGCTCAAAACTTATAGGTAATCCCAACTATATAATATATCCCAACTAATATTATAAATGCGAAAGTAACTCTGTCTGTCTGTCTGTCTGTCTGTCTGTCTGTCTGTCTGTCTGTTACGCTTTCCCGCTTAAACCTCGCAACCGATTTTGATGAAATTTGGCATAGAGATAGTTTGAGTCCCGGGAAAGAACATAGGATAGTTTTTATCCCGGTTTTTGAAACAGGGACGCGCGCGATAAAGTTTTTCTGTGACAGACAAAATTCCACGCGGGCGAAGCCGCGGGCGGAAAGTTAATTAATAATTATGGTTAATTCCTTTACGATTTGGTAAAGGTCGCGTGAAGAACTTGAATACGGGCAGCGCAGGAGCGGTCGTTATGGAAATCCTTGGGGGAGGCCTTTGTCCAGCAGTGGACGTCATTCGGCTGAAACGAACGAACGAATTCCTTTACCAATTTATTTTATTCTGTTTATGTGATTCTGATTGGTGGACCGACGACATCGTAAAGGTAGCAGGGAAGCGCTGGACGCAGGCCGCTACCAATCGATCAACATGGAAAGCATTGGGGGAGGCCTATGTTCAGCAGTGGACGTCCTGTGGCTGAAATGATGATGATGATGATGATGATTCTGACTATTTTATTATCAAAATCACAATCAGAAATAAGAGCTTCATTTTATCTATACTTATAATAAATCTGTAGAGAGGTCAATTCTGTACATGAAATATATTTTCAAAATAACTATCAGGGGGTGATCATTAGTGATCGATACTGATGCCAAAAATGCAATCAGTAAAATTTTTGTCTGTCTGTCTGTATGTTCCTTATAGAAACAAAAACTACTGGACGGATTTTAACGAAACTTGGTACAATTATTCTTCATACTCCTGGGCAGGTTATAGTATACTTAGGAATTCTCACGGGAACAGGAATTAGCGGGAAAATCCTTTTGTATGAAAAATCAAAACCGCATAAGTTAGACACTTGAAATTTGGCATGTAGGTACCCTAGTAAACTTAAAGCTTAGTTACAACAAGGAATTCCAGAAATTTCCACGGGAACGGGAATTAGCGGGAAAATCCTTTTGTATGAAAAATCTAAAACGCTTAAGTTAGACGCTTGAAATTTGACATGTAGGTACCTTAGTAAACTTAAAGCTTAGTTACAACAAGGAAATCGCGAAATTCCCACGGGAACGGGAATTAGCGGGAAAATCCTTTTGTATGAAAAATCTAAACCGCTTAAGTTAGACACTTGAAATTTGGCATGCAGGTACCTTAGTAAACTTAAAGCTTAGTTACAACAGGATATTGCAAAATTCTCACGGGAACGGGAGTTAGCGGGAAAAAACATTTGTACCTATAAAAAAATCTAAACCGCGTAAGATAGATAAAGGGGGTAAAACGGGATCCACGCGTACGAAGTCGCGGGCGGCCGCTAGTGTAAAATAAAACGTTTAAAAACGCTCATGTTTCCACAGAATACACGAATTAATATAGTTGCGCTTTGTTGTGGTAAGTACAAGTCTGAAAGCTACAACTGAAATTGCATACGACAAGTTTTAGCACGGGAGCTTTGTAACTCTTTTCAACCAACTGTTATACCTATTCATAAATATTGCATTTTAGAATGTTAAATAAACGAATAGGAACTTAAACTATTTTCATTTTTGATTTGGTTAATTTGATATAAGCAACATGAATAAAGCTACCTACTGTACTTACCTACTGCACATAATGCCACTACCATACTTGATGTAATTTTGTGTCATAGGTAGGTAACTACTGCAATGCATGTTTTGAAAAATACTGCACTTAGTCATTACTTATGTATCTAAAATGAATTAAAAAGTAGGTACAAAAGTCTTCAATACGAATGTATGCACAAGAAAAATAGACGGGTCGCAAAATCTAGCTAAAGACAAACTTGTCCTTCATCTGCAATATACTAAGTTCGTTTAGGTCATCAACACTCTTCAATACTATCAAATAGTTATGCACATCACAGCCCTTACTACGAATGCTTTCAACAGCCTAGGAAGAGCACATTAAGGGTGGCACCCTCGCGTCAGTCGTGTTCTAACCGCGACTCGGTGAGGTCGCTCGTTTGGCTCCCCAAATCATTGAAGTTTATAAATAAAACTTTAAATAATTACTGTAATACCATTGTCATTAATCGGATTGGAAAACTAAGGTTGAGTGTCGTGAATTTTTATTAATGTTAAAAAAGTTTGGACGTGTTCCGAAAAGTTTGTGCGGTGTTGTTAAAAACTACAGTGAATTTTATTAATTCAGATTTTGTTCAAAAGTTTTTTATTCATTTCGTGTTCATTTAAAAAGTGTTTGTTTTATTCACCATCTTTATTTCGTCAATAAGATGTCAGGTAAAAGTTGTGAATAAAAAGTTACAAAAAGTTGGTAAGAGTGACATAATCCGGTGGCACCAAAGTTGTTTATGTTTTTTCCTGAAAATTTTCCTTTTCAACTGCCATCAGAAATATGACAGGTCATTAATTGTTTACGACTTGGGATCTTTGGGATATTTTTGACCTGTGAAAATAATTGTAATTCGAATGAAAGTTTGTATTTTTAATTGTAATTAACGGAGTGAACTCTTAATTGTTGCATTAATGCCTATTTTCTATGACTTTTTAGCTTTCTAATTATATTTAAAACAAAAGTTTTACCTACAAGAAACCTCGAAAATTCAGAGTGTTTGTTATCGCTTAGTAGCTACTAAGCAATTGTAAGAATACGATGATGAGTATAAACGGCTCTTCCTATTGAGAAAGAGTATTTTATTGCTCGACTATTTCCTTCCCACAAATAGACACAATAGGAAAATCTATTGTCATGCATCATATTTGATTCACTGAACGGGTAATATGGTCCACGGTTTCTTATGAAGGGAAAAAATCCTATTTTATACAGCGTGTTCTTGAAGATAAGCTTTAACTTTTCCAAATGCTTCACACGTTTACGATACAAATCTTACAAAATGAAGTAGTGTATTTATTGTAAAGGTTACTTTTAAAGTTAATTTATTATTTTTTATAATATTTTTTTTTAATATATTTTATAATCGAAATAAATTAATTACCAATGGATTGATTTTATTGCTGTAATATTACACTACAGAACTTTATAAACATGTTTAGTAAGCTATAATAAAAGCATTTTGCGCAACATTTTCAGGAACGCTATGTATGCATTATGATGCACATAATAATTAGTCTCAGTTTTTGTTATATCCCGAATTAGTTCACATTAGGATTTAATTAAACAAGAAATGGATTGAGGTCAGCCAGTAGAATTCTAATCAGAGCGCACCGCCAAACCCGACGTGAATAAAAGGGAAAACGGTCCATTTGAACGTTTCTCTTTCCGTGGTTCTCAACGTTTTCTTTCAGTACGTCTAGCACGAACAACTCTCGTCTTCGAGTCGTTTGCGTATTCGACAAAATTCGATATCCAAGTTCGCTACCTTCGAATTCAACGATAACAATATTGTCAAAATTTGTTTCGTGCTATCAATTATCATACTAAATTCACTTTACGTTCTTACAGGCGTTGTTTAAGTTTTCGTACTAAATCTTTGATGGCGATTCGAATTCGCAAACGATTTGAAGGTTTTCGTGATAAAGGTACAGATGTCGGCACGTCCATGTAAACACGTAGATCTTATGCAGTTGTAATAGAAGCTAATTTGCAGCAAAAATGGGTTGTAGGATGTGCTGTCTTGTACCTAGAGCCTTTCAGAGCATTCACATAAAGATAAAGTTTTATACAATCGGGTGTTCCACTAGCCTTATTGGTGTAATGTTCAACGGATAAGAAAGTTTACTTATTGAAGAAGCCTTATGTAGTGTAGTTTAGTGGAACAATAAACTTCTTAGTGTAGAAACTAGACTTCAGAGCCAAGGATTCGGTCATATGCTTTACAAAGCTTTCCTGTGAATATGAGCTAGGTATCTAATTCAATCATATAAAAGCAGTAGTATTCTCACCTTCTCACATGCCTTGAAAATAATAAGACTAAGAAAAGTAGTGCTTACTAACTAAACTTTAAGTTATTGCCTACACAATAGGTGACTTGGTGAAGAGTTGAAAATAAAATCAGTATTAACTCGGTGAACATTTATTATGTTTATTGCAGGTACGAGTGGTTTTCTTATTTTTTATTTGGTTAGAATCTATTGTGTTATTCTTTCATATTTTCCGTTTTCCTTTTTATATCCTATCCTATTTTTAATTGGTCAATTAACTATTAAAGAACTTAAAATAACGTTTAACGATAAGAAGTACGTTTGACTGACGATTTAACTAGTCATTACTAGTCTAACTTATACACTTAGTAGCTAGAAGGTTCCATCTGCATATCGAGCGCGAACTTATCTCATACCGTCATAGAATTTGAAACTTGATGGCATTCATATTAACGCGCATAGGAAACTTTACATGACATACTGCGATTTAGAACAGGTTAATACGTAATACCTTCATAATGTTATATATTTTGCCATAATAATGTCGTAAACTTATTGTTTTAATGAAAATAAACAAGACTTTTAAATGTTTATTTAAGTTATCAATCTTTTTTTTTAACCACAACGAGGAAGCTCTTGGCCTGTATCTCACCTGTATTACGTGAGCTACTTACATGAGAAGCTGATCTACATAAATCAATCAGTGCTGACGTCAACATAAAATTGTACATTATGTCTGTATCTCACACAATTAGAAAAGTAAGAGTGTATCATGCATACGAGTATGTACATACTTGTAAGTATTTGGTTTGATTTATAATTTTGATTTGTACGTACCTACCTACAGACTGGTTAAATACTGAAGCATGATCTTATGACGTGAGATCATGACGTGTAAAAGGTTGTATACCACATTGTGGTAAAAGTATGGAAAAAGTAGCTACTCGTATTTTACACCAAAAATGTGTAGTCTGGTTTACTATAGAAAGAAATAGCCTAGTCATATGAAATTGGCTCATAATTGTTGCTCTTCACATGAAAGGCAGTACCCTAAACGAGCTATCAATAACTCTTTGTAAAAGTATTTACTCTGATTGCGATTCGCTATGAAAACGCTTTGAATGTATTTCGGTGGATGGACTTTTATGACGTCATAACATGAAATAATACGATGCCAAATCCGGCTCTTATATAGATTGGGATATTCGTATCACGTGGCAATTACACCGGTTTGGTCGCTTTGTTGACTAGGTGAATATTGGAGACATATTATACCCAGTTGAATACAAACACTTGAATACAAATAAACCGTAACATGAAAAAAAATTTAATTGAAAATTTGGTGTTTGTGTCGCACAATGTAACTGTTTGTATAAAAGTTATTATACAGAAGTACTAACTGTAAAAAGCGCTCGCTCTAACAAGGAAATTAACACAGAAAAACAGAAAAAGAAAAAAAAATAGAATGAACGGAACAGTTGAAATATTTATTTCAGTTGTTTTATGATTGAAAAAGATTATGAATAGGTAGCTTTTAAGTTAGTTTACAAAATCTGTTAGGAAAAAACTAAATATTTTTACTACGAGAGCAGAAAGATTTCAAACTATACTTAACATTTTTATTTAAACGGAAAATGTTTGCTCTACCTACTATTAAATAATAATTAAAATGGGTAGTTGAATAAGGAAGTGCCTTTTACACAAAAGAAAGCGTTCGAGCAACACGGCCGCGACCCAATGTCCAATGTAGCGTGTATAGGGCTGACAGATTTCACAAAAAATGGGCCTTTATGAATGAAAAGTAAACAGGAAAGATTAGGATTCAGAGATAAGAATAAATTAATGTAATATGTGTGTAAAACGTGCATGATAATAATAAACGTACCTTTTTTCTGAAAACTAAGGCTGAGTTGCACCACCTAACTTTGACCGTAAATACGTATAACGACAACCGGTGTGTTTTGTATGGAGTTTCACAGATTTCTGACGTTCGTGAAAGTTAAAATAAGATGGTGCAACCCAGCCTAAATGTTTTTATGACTCAGGACGTAAACCTTTTTCAATTTTCAGTTCTGAAATTGCTTGGTCACTAACACAAAAAGGGAGCATCCTACAGTCAATTTATTTCACCAAAATTGTACTATTTAGATGTGTGTTATAAAAAGTCTGATTGGTAGGTATAGAAAAGAAAACCCTGTCTTGTAACAAGCCTTGTTTTTGTATTCTCATCGGCACTTTGGGACACGCGGCATCGAAATGGTTTCATTATTTCAGAATATTGTACAGATGACACGCTGAGCACTACAAGTTCTTATGTAGTTGTTTTACGTGCTATTTTCTGGCAAAAATGTATAGTATGATGTGCTGTCGACTGTACTCTAAGAGGCGACGCAATCCCTACTTCAGTTTCATACACACCCTGATCCGGGATATTCCCGCCTTTCACTTATAGTAGAATTTGGAACTGTATTGTTTTATTTATGAGACTTACAGCCTGTTCTTGTATTCCATCGTTATACAATAACATGGTAAGAGCATTTTATTAAATTTCGTGACAGGGATGAATTCCTCTATTGTTTATGAATCCTTTTTTAGGATGAATGCACAATAGATGAAAGTAAACAAATATTGCTGGTTGGTTTTGAGTGCACCTACGTTACTTGTTTCAATTGAAAAGTACCTACATTGCTCAATCCAACCGGTTACGTAGTTTGTCTTCGACAAAATATTCTGAGAAAATACGTTTGCTTTGAAAATAGGTTTCGCTAGTATTGCCAACTTAAAATTTGAATTTATGAGAGTACATTTTGTAGTTCCAATTTTCAAGTCGATATGCAGCAGGTAATAGTTTGTTTTGAAAATATCGCGATATAAATCTCAACAACTCAACAACCAAATACTTTTTCAAGATAAATAAATAAATAAAGAGACCTAGAAGTAAATTGAAAGTGGGTAAGTAGAAAGGTACTGATAAAATCTGCGTTAATAAATTTCCTTTTTATCTGGGGTGTCACTAGGCACCAACCTACGCCCTCTTCTTTATAATGTAAATTCTTCTTTCTTATCAGGTTTTTTACATTTCAGTTGGTTAGTATTGGCGAATATATGAATACTTACAAAGTTCTAAATAGATAAAAGCGTGAAATATGACTAACGCATACGTTATTAGATTTTGGCGAGGAACTAGGTATGAATACTAGGAATATTTTATTACATCGGGCTCTCAAAGGGAAATTGGCATCAAATATAAGCTACATAGTTTTTCTGGCGGCCTTTGAAACAATATGACAAAAACATTGTGTTTTATTATTTTTGTAGGTTCTATGACTCGTAAAAATATCAAATGTTGTGAAAGAATATAAAAATGTTATCTGACAAACTTTATCATTAAAATGTTGATGTTGAGCTGAGTTCTATCATAAGTTTCTCTTTGAATTTCTAATATTAGCTAGTTGTCAAAATATTTTCAAAGTTAGCGTTTCGATTTGAATTATCATTATTTATTTTTCCATAATAATAGGTCCACTATCAGATGGCGTCGCCGGCGATACTAATAATCACGGTGTCAACGTAAATGTGATGTAGTGATGTGAATAGTACTCGTACTTCAGTGCAAAATACCTAATTGAATGATAATCCAAAAACAATGTGACAATGTTACGAATAAAGAGTGAATGAACGTTGCCATGGACTCCGAACTGGACATCCAGAACTTCTTCAACTGCACCCAGCAGATCCTGGGCCAGGAGAAGTGGTCGCACCTGAACGTCACGCAGCTGTTAGACCTGCTGCCGAACCAGCTCGTCGAGGATATTGAACTCAAGTAAGTTGAACTGAACTTTATTATTAGTTTAGCTTGCGTAGCGACGCCTTTTGTGAGAATTATTATTAAGCCGTTTGCGTATAATACTCGTGTGTATAAAACTTAGTTAGTTGGGATTTTGAAGTAAAGTAGAAAATTTCATACCGGTAATCCTACTTGTACCTACTCATATTTATTATAATCATAGCTGTAGTAATGTGACTAAATGACAATTATTTTCACAAAATTGAAATTAAGTCAGTACTCTCAACCAGTCAGTCAGGGTAAAAGTCTGACTTTCTCTACATAGTTTTCTAAAACTTTAACGTCAACTCAGAATCAGGCATGTCTAAACTAAAACCTAGAGAAAAGTCAGACTTTGAAGAGTCAGAGTCTGACTTTCATCTAGGTAGGTAGTTTTCTATAAACCTTGAGCTATCGTACTCTAGATTGCCCCTTTTCCGTCCTCAGGTATCCATTGGTTGAAGATTCTGGTCCACTTTTTTTCTTCTCTCAGGCACAAATTTAGTCGCATATTTCATTGGTTATTATTATTAAAGTGAGCACATGGATTTATTTCGATACATTACTTACCAAATAAATTATCTTCCCCAACTGTACTGCAAACTTTTTGCCCTTCTAAGCAGCTTGCCACATAAGTATTTTAAGTACCTCAATCTCAGGTCTCGAAGTTCTATCAGCCCCTCTCGAAAAGTAGCTATAACTTGTAACCTTTTAAGTCCTTGGACTTACAGGGTCTAATTTATGCTCTCAAGTGCTGGTGACTTCACGTCAAGCTAAAAATTTAGCCTCTTTGTAGTGGTATAGGTCTTATTAACTCATTCATTGCCTGAGGTCCATACCTCAGGACGTTTCGTCAAACGCGCAGCGAGACATCAGATCTTCTTCAGATTTATATGCTCTGTCATGTAATATGTGTCAATTTCTCCCCTCTTGTGCCGCTCTCCCAAACCGATTGAGTTAAAACCTACAATAAATTCTGTTTAGAATAAAAATGTAGCCTGATGTGTTGTAGATTGTAGTACCTATTTATATGTTAAGTAAGTTACCGCGTAGGTAGTAGTACTACAATATTTATGAAGCTTGCTACACTGGTAAACAGCAAGGGATTCCTTTCTGGGTAATTAACATATCAATAGACAGACGCTGGATGAGACTTAATTGCCTATCTAACGCTGAGCACGAGCAACCTTGGGTAATTCTATACACGTTTGAGGGCTTCACAAATTGACTGTGAATGAACATATTCACAGACCTTTGTGAAGATATTAAGATACATGGGTATCAATACTTTGGGCAATTAATATGGTATACGGAAATGTAGTTAAGACCGAACTCGTTAAATTACAATTTTGAACAAAGTTCATTCACGCAAAATATTTTATTATGATATTTTTTAGTCATTAATTTATTGTTTGTTCAGAAATTAATATTGTTGAAGTGACATTGATAATAATTAATACAATTATTTTAACGTAAGTTATCCTGCTTTCGCCTCCGAGATTTATTTTACCGTGTAGTACCCCTGTACGACAAGCCAATCCGCACACAATATTCAGCGTAGTAGTAGTAAAAAACAAAAGAGCGGGCAACCCCACCCCTACCACGCTGTGGGCTCGGTGTCCGAGCGGTCTCATTCCTTTGTGCGCACGCGCAACGACCGCACNTGATAACTATACTAGATGAAGAATGAAAAATGAAGTGAATGAATGAAAAACCTACTGCTGAATGGATTACTGAATTTATTATAGGCAAATCATTGGCATTCCGTCACACTGAAATCCATCCCCTTATCGTCTTCAAGCCAATGGAATAAGTACCTATTACAGATAATGATAAATTGGGTCGGGTACTGGAGTAAATTATGATTCACCTGATGCGGTTTAGATTGTCTTTAGCTCGATGAAAATGATGTGGGTTAAGACTTTAATATTGACACTGATTTGTGGGTTCCAGGCGTGGGAAATGTTTGAATACGAAAATGTATTAAAATTAAGTATATTCTGTACCTTTAATGAATGTCAAACAAACCTTGCGGCGGCTCTGGCTGCTTTTGTTTAGGTTTATTTCAATATTTATTTTTACGCATGTTAATTATTTTTGGGATTAAAATAAAGCCTATTAGAATTAGCTATCTCTAAAACTAATCATTTTTATTGCAAAGACTTTTCCATTGTGGGTAAAAAAATTACAAGAGAAAAGATAAATATTATAAAGATAATCTCTGAACTAGAGCGCTTAACTAGAGAAAATGAGCATAATCGTTTAATCCCATGGTAACAGTGTTTAAATTCGCTACTCTTTATAAGTAGGGTATGTAATATACATACAAAATAGCACATATAATAACCTCTTTATGCAAACTTTATGCACTTCATAGTTAAGGCTGGGTTGCACCATCTTACTTTCACTGTAACAACCGTCAAAAATCTTTCAAATTCTATACAATAAATACCAGTTATCGTTATAGTTACGGTCAAAGTTTGGTTGTGCAACTCAGCCTAAATGCAGAGACTCTAGCTTATCTATTAAGTATACTACAACTTTTTTTAACATTCTCGTTTAACTGGCAAAAGGTCACCAGTAATCAGCAATCTTTAATTGTTATATGCAGATAACTGTCCGAACATAAAGACCCGATGAAACGAGTCTAATTGTTTCTAATTACTGTTGTTTGTTTACCCGCCACTTGAAGATTGACGGCGGTAATCAGAGCTGAAAAGGCTACAACCGGACGCCGGTAGCAACCTTAATGAGCCCACGAAGACTATTAAAACTTTTCCCACTTTGACTTCGATTAAACCATTAGGTCATTGATTTTAACATAGAAACACAGTTTAAGTAAAAATATGTTGTTACGGAAAATTTTTTTTTAATAGTAAGTAGAATGAAAGTCACTGACTATGTTTACAGTACAGAAATCTTACATACAGTTTTAAGGGCTACCTAGTCTTTTGGCTCGTTGCCTTTTATTTGACACTAGCTGACCCGGCGAACTTTGTTCCGCCCTAATGGCAATAAATAAGCAGACTTTTTTTTATTTCGAACGGGATAAAAAGTATCCTATGTCCTTCTCCTGGCTCTAAACTACCTCCCTGACAATTTTCAGCTAAATCGGTTCAGCCGTTCTTGAGTTATAAGTGGAGTAACTAACACGACTTTCTTTTATATATATAGATACTTGTAAATGACATCAGCTGTTTAAAGCTAAAAGTAGCAACTAAATCAATTCGTGATTGCCGCAACTAGCAACTGAAGTAGGCTATAATCACACATTTTATATTCTGCGCACATATTTTACTGTTCCTTAATCGCCGAACTTGGCAACTTAACATTCTTTGTACATTGAGCAACTTATCTTGATCTAAATTGTGTATCATATTTCGACTTTATCAAAGTCAAAGCCCCTATTAAGTCGTTGAAAAGTTTTAAATGCTTCGAATTTTATTTACTACGTTTACATGCCTATAGAACTTTGTTCAAATTCCTGAAAATTACGCTCTAAGTTAGGTTTTGTCGACATAATATTAGGTACGTTGTTTTTCAGGGGAAATAGTAGGTAGTTAGGACATAAGTGTTTTATGCTACCTTATCAGTACCGCTAGACGAAACAATAAATACGTTGGCATAATAATAATACGTCAATGCCATCCCAATTTTATGGTAGCCCTTAAGGAGCAAAGGACGGAACCAAATGATCATCGCCTTCTATGCCCATAGCCTAAGAAACCCCAATAAACTTAATCGACTATAAAGCAGACAACCGCCACGAAAGGAGAAAATCGACCACAAATTAAACGCAAGGTGTGCGGAGAACAGAAATTTCCGTACCTACAATTTAATGATAAATTCATAAAAGGGGTAAAATTAAGCCAAAAACTCATCCAAAGTTCTATTACACAAACTTCATTAAGGAATGCCTACGCTGAATAACTTTAAAATTGTTTAGGACCATCCTAAAACGTTGGTTGCATTTCACTTTGCGTATTTCGAGTTGGATTAACGTAATTTTGTGTAACTTTTTGCTTATTTGTACTTTGTACTTTTCTTGATCTCAGAAACAAGGAAGAGCTTTTATCATGATCCGTGATGGCTGTATCTATCTCTAAATATTATTTGTAGACTACTTCGTTAAATTCGAATTAAATTCAAACTGTTATTTGCTAGAATACATATTATCACAAGCAAGTTTCAGAAACAATGTAAATACTCGTATGTTTACGAACGGAATACAAATAATTTTGTAGAGAAACAAATGTCTTAAAAATCTTTCAGGCAACTTTTACTAAGAACTGGTGTAGTTACAGTTAGATTGTACTCGTACCTTGTTATGCTAAAGGGTCTCAACGAGAAAGCAGGAAAGTCTTACCTTCGTAGCTACGAGGATAGAAAGATGTATATTTTGACACACCTATATTTGTTTCCAGTTTGTTTTACATGCATGTAAAACATCATCATGCATCAACAAATCATGCATGATTTGGGGTTTGCACTTAGGTACCGATGGTTTGGAAGAAAAATGATCGTGTGCTCAAGAGAGTCCCCATGCTTAACCTTCAGTCTGATTGCGCCATATCAGACACCTTTATGCTCATAAGCTCTGACACCAGGATTACGACCTCAATTTACAACCAGGAAAAGCAGGCAACTGGGCAAAAACACAGGACGCTTACACATACATACATGTTTAAGAATGCTGTTCGTAACTCGTATAAATTCCATAAAATGTTACTGAACATTTCTGCAAATGCCATGAAGGCAAACAATTTTTACGAGAAGACAATAACACATGAATTCGTCTTACCATTTTAGAATGTTTAGTAGCTTTTACCGCACCCTTTTTTGCTGAGACACGATTTCCATGTAAAGTTATTTTATTCACGGAGAAAGGTAATTTTGCTTGTGGCCCTTACCTTTGTTGATTTTGATTAAAATATTTGAATTTCAGAACTGTTTGAACGGATGAGCAAAATTACTGGATCCATTCTTTCGCTGACAATTATTCAATTAACTTTGTTGACCTTCATTAAACGTGCACTAAAGTTAGTTGGTTGAAATTAATGAGTTAATAAAAATATGTGTGTTTGTGTAACAGTTAGGTCACATTGTAAGGCTGGGTTGCTTGCACCATCTTACTTTAACTTTGACAAACTTCAGATGAAGATGGTACAACCCAGCATAAGTGTACTAATTATTTTGAATTTTTAAGTTTTAATAAAAAAATCCTACACCACAAAGAGTCCAGTATAATATACTTAAATTTAATTTCATCAATAGTCCATTAAAGAGGTTAAGACTTATCATTCTCATGGCAAAATGTTAGGGAAATAATATGTGACACATTCTTTTGCTACTACCACATTTCCTTTATACACATAATACCCGTAAAGGCTCTTTCCGCAATCTGGCAAAATATAGAGGATATCCTCATTTATTGAGCTTTAAGGTCTATAATAAACTCTCCTAAAAAGAACCCTCTACCTGCGAAGGTCGAGGACACGTTTTAGTGACCAATTCAGGTTCAATGGGCGAGAGAATTAGAAAACCCACATAATCACTACATAAACTTACCCACCGTTGATTCTAGTCACATCGAAAAATAACATAACCTAAGTAAATATTTTTTGATGTCAGGTAGGCCCCTCTCTCATTGGACTGAAGATTTGGTGAAGGTCTCGGAAAGTACTACGGGCAGCACAGGACCGATCGTTGTAGAAATCCGTGGTGAGGCCTTTGTTTGTCCAGCAGTGGACGGAATTCGGTTGAAACAAACGAGTTGAAAAGTACCTAGGTATGAAAATAAACACTCAGTTCATAAACAAACTACAGGGAATCCTTAATTTTTAGAAGTTTCTTAATTTCTCGAAACAAGCAGCTGAAACTACGAGTTTGTTTACTGGGCTAGACA